TTAGGAATCAAATAAATTAACTTTCATTTCTTGAAGAACTGAACATTTTCTAAATAAGTAACGAGACTTAAATTATTTATTTATCTATTTATTTATTCATTTCAATTGTGATGTTTATTCATATCGAGTTGAACACTTTGTCATTAAATGAAAGTTTATGGTAGATTTGATTTGTTGACTCGCCGGATAATGAGAATGCGGTTTTTCCATTTCTTCAATGTTAGGCATCAAGCCTGACAGAATAAAAATTTCTCTAACGATTGAGATCAACTACTTGATTATTAGTTGCTAATCTACCTGAAATTCACCTAGTGATATAATACCCACATCTCAAGAAACTTTTAATTTTCCAAGTGCTTCTATCCCTAACTTTCAAACCTATTTTATTGGAACATTTCCACCTTAATTGTGAGAAACTGAGCACATATTGCTTAAATCATACTAGTTAAATATGTTCAGCAGGTGGGCATGACCCTGTATGAATGTAAAGTTAGTTAAGAAATAGAAAACCTAACCATTAAAAAGGTCGATCTCATGCCACAAAGGGGTGGCCGAGTTCATGAGATCAACATTGTGACGATTTGAGATTTGCTGTTTATTTATGTTGTCCATCCAGTTACATATTGAAACATCATGAAAAATTAAAACCGATGTTAAGGTTGGAAAATTTCATCAATTTTAATTTTTCATGATGTGTCAAGTATCAATTTGCAATTGAATGGACAGCGAATCTCATCTCCATCATGACATAAGCATTTCAAACACACAAGAGCAACACCACTCCAAGCATCTAGGTCTAATCGTGGTGCCTACTTCAAGATGTGAAGTTCAAGGATTCTTAAATGTTACCTTCTGAAAAGTGAGTTGTCACAACAAAGGATATAGATAGAATTAAATGGAAAAATCTGAAAAGTGAGGTTGTGAGCCCAGAAATGCAGCACAACTGTAGCAGTAAAAAATGAGAAGTAATAGTTCCGAAGTTTGTATAATTGAACTTCTTGTGGTAATAGACAAAGTACCCCAAAACTTTACTAGTTAAAGAAAATGTATATTTACAAGTATCCATGGAAAATAGAGGGATCAATGACCTGCACGAGCTAAATTATGTGTATCAAAAAACACAGTCTGAGGCGAGAAAAACACAGATCGGTCCATTGTCTCACCCCATTTTGGTATTAGGTTTCTTCAGCGCAAATCCGAAATCGGAGAGAAGACTGGACAGAAAACCTTGAGCGTTCCTGCTCTCATCTTTCTCATTGTTGTTGCTCAAGTTACTTATAAGGGACCAATGGGTATCAAAATCAGGCGCATGGCCGTTTTCTTGCATCATTTTTAAGAGCTCAGATACCTTGCTAATATTTCTTTCGGACCGGTATTTGTCAATCACGGAGCAAAACATCTCCTTGCTCGGTGTTTCACCTAACTGGATCATGGAATAGAGCAGCTTTTCTGCTTCTACCGCTTGCCCATTTTCACTCAATCTGCAAACAAGAATGTTCCAAGTGGTTGTGCTCGGTGTTAGGTTTCTATATATCATCTCAGTATGAAAATCCAGAGCCATATCCAGGTTACGGCAATTACTGAAACCTTGGATTATATGATCAAAACTGCTAGAATCTGGAGCACTCCCCTTCTCCAACATCGTGTTTAGAAGGTCCATTGCCTTGTCCAGTCTACCATGCTGACAAAAACGCTTAATAAGATAGTCATACTTGATATTATCAGGAATCAGACCTTTTATCATCATCCTGTCCAGAAAATCGATTGCTTCACTGAGCTTGCCTCTAGTAAGAAGTGCCTCGACAATGTTATTCTGAATGGTTGAACAGTGAATCCAACCTCTTAACTCCATTTCTTGACTCAACTTCAAGGTTTTCCCCAGTTCCCCATTACCACAAAGGCAGCGGATAACCTCTCGTAAACTACGATTACTTGGCCTAAGATCTCCTTCTATCATGGCTGTCAGATACTGCAGAGAACTCAAAATATCTTTACTTCGCAAAAACCCTTGAACAACAAAATTATAAGTAACTTCATCAAATTGTAATCCTTTCTTTTGAAGTTCTTCAATTAGTGCATCCACAAGGACAGTGTTATGTGCCATGAAGAGGTAAAATATCAGAATGTTATAAAGAACAGAGTCTGGAAGGTTCCTTTCTGCAAGTAAAAGCTCTTTTAAGCTCAATGCTAAAGGAAACTTCCCTTTTGTGCACATCAAGCATACCAAATTGCGATAACTTGGTATTGAGATGCTCAATTCTTTCCTTATCATAACACCAAGCAACTCCATGATTTTCTCTAAGTTGTTTACTCGACAATACGCTTGAACCAACATGTTATAGGCCTCTGCATCTGGAACTAGCTTCATCAACAACATTTCCTTGAATAGTCTGGTCGCTTCTTCAATCTTTCCTGACTGGCAGAACCCACTCATCACAGCAAAATGGACAGAAACAAAGCTTGAAGGTTGATGTTTTAAGCATACATTTTTCAATGCGAGAGCTTTCTCAAAATTATTACTCCGACACAGCTGAGTAATCAGCAGAACAGTTACATCCAAAGGTGGAGATAAATTCTTAGCAAGTATTGTATCACAAACCTTAAAGGCTTCCTCAAACCTCTTCTCTTTACAAAACCCACTAATAAGGTTGCAGTAAACCGTCTGATCCAAGATATTGGTCTGATTTGAGAATTGTTCCACCAAACCGCAAGCAGTGGTAGTGAACCCTTCAACACAAAGCTTTTCAAGAAATGCATAAAAAGTGTCCGATATCATTTGAGGCCTGACAATCAGCAAGGTCTCGAATAGCTCCAATGCCTCATTCAACCATTTGTTTTGGCATAGGCAATCGAGAAGGACTATACCATCCTTGAACTTGGGTGTCCAATTATATTGTCGTGCAAGCAGCAAGCAATCCCTCAGGCCTCTCACGTCACCTTTATTGCACAGGTACATCAATTGGGTAGTAAATGTTTTATTCTCAATTATCTGATGCCTTTGCACCATCACATCAAAAATTATTCTAGCCCTGAAATTAAATCCATTTTTGCTATAAGTCTGAACAAGCTTATTTAAAGTTTTTTCCTCGAACTGGTAGACTGATTGAATCATTTTTTCCAAGAGGTTGTCAACAGTCTTTATGCTAAAAGGGTCTGCACAAAGCCTTTTCACTAAGTTTGAGGAGACATGTAAACAGAGTTCTTGACCCCATCTTGCCATTTCATCAATCATCATTAAAATTGAAGTATTACTTTTACCTCTGCTACCACAATTCTCGAGTATAAACGAGTTAAAATCAGGGATCATGGCACCATCAAGAACCTTTGTCATTGTTTTCTCATACTCTTCAAGATTCGTATCCAAATAAAGTCCATTCCCAAGACTATCAAAAAATTCAGCTTTAGAAAATCCCTTATCATTGTCCCTTCTTATCTTCACATCCAATGGGTTGAGCCCCAAAAGAACGAATGCTTTGTTCAGTGGGTCTTCGGATAATGAGGTTTCAATCAAGCCACGTTCAGCCATGTCACCAACTACTGCTTTCATCTCATCAAATTGCCTCTCTTTACAAAATCCAGCTATGATAACCCGCAAAGTAGACATGTCGGGAGTCACTCCCCTATCATTCATTTCATGAAGAATGTCATGGGAGTGTCTCCACATGCCTGCCTTGAAGATCCCACTCAGCAGAGCATTATAAGAATATAGATGGGGCTTCAGGCCTCTAGACAAAATCTCTAAGAAATATATGAAAGAATTTCTCAGTTTCCCTTCACGGCAACCCCAACCAATCAAGATCCCCAACGTCCTTTCATCAGGGCAGAAACCCATTTGTTCCAATTTATGCATGTACGAGCTTGCTTTCTCAACACCAAAATTTCTACATAAAGAAAATAGAATCTCGTTTCCAATCAGTACATCGGGTGCAAACCTAACTTCAGCAAAGAAACTTACTAGATCATCATAATCCTTCTTCTTACAATAACCCCTACTGATCGCATTGATAACTGAACTACTGGGTTCAATTCCAAAAGTCGCAACTTTCTTGACAAAATCTCTGGCTTCCTGAACTTTACCATCTACGCATAGCAGGCGTATAACATTCTGGAATATGCCCTCTTCCTTTATGCTCATTCCCATCCCCATCTCAAACGCATCAACAAAAACACGAAAAGCCAATTGGGTTTCATTCAATTCAATCAAATACCTGAGAAGAGCACGATAACTGGACAGGGATGGTACTAAAGACAGCCTTCTCATTCTCTCATAAATTGAAACAGCACTATCTAAATCAAAGTCCCCCACATACCCTTCAATCAAACAACTGAAAATTTCACCATCCAGCAAAATTCCTGGACTTTCGCTACTTGACAACAAGCAATCAGCTTCCCAAAACAACCCCACTTGCACAAGCATTGAAGCCATGATCTTACAAGACTGAGGAAGATGCTCAAAACCCCTATTTTCCTCACTCGCCCACTTGAAAATTCCCCATAAAGATTCAATCTTTTTAACCTCAATCTCATACTTACCAGCATCAAATTCAAAACCCTGTAATATCTCAAGAACGTCTTGAGGTTTCAACTCAGAAATTCTCCAAAATCTACGAATGGTACCAGGCGATATAGCAGATAATCTCAAAAGATAATCTTTAAACGAAGGATTGGTAAAGTTCTCACCTTTATCGGTCCTCTTATGCGAACAGTTCGATATAACTGTTTTTGCAATGCCTGCGAAATTGAGTGAGGATAAATCTCTGAGGGTATGGTTTGTTTCTGAAGATGTGGTTGGTTGACGGTTTTCAAGTAAAGTATTAGTAAAAGAAATGGGCTGTTTTGTGGTGAATTGAAAATATTGTACGGGAATACAGTGAAGCTTTTTGAATTGGGAGTTCCTTGACTGAAGAGTGAAGAAAGACTGAAGCATTGACGGTTTAGGTTCTTCTCCCCTATGTTCTTCATCCTCTTCTTCACAAATCCAGTTGAGTAATTCGGCAGATCAAATTACAGAAATTGGAGGAGGATAAGTGCAAAATTTCTGGCGACCCGGGTTTTTTTACTAGGAATTGGGCTTTACAGCAAACCCATACTATCTATTGAGCCCAGAAGTCCCGGAGCTAAACTTCATTTTTGGTGCAAAATATTGGGAGATTGAGAATTAGACCTGGTTTGAGCCCATTTTCTAGATAGATTTATGAAATATGATTTTTTATTTTATTTTTTATTTTATTGAAGAATCTATGGTTAAAAAAGTAGATTTTTTTTAATTTACTAACAAAAAATATTTCATCTCTAAGAAATGTGGTTGAAAATGAGTTTGAAAAAAATGAATTTAAAAAAATGAAATTATGAAATAAAATCAAGATATATCGATTAATGCCGTGTTTATTACAAATCAACAAGATATCTTTGTTTGGACCTTGTAATCTCATTACCACGTGCAAGACTTGAGATGAAATCGTGAAACGAAATAAAGATACATAAACCTTGTTTGATTCTCATTCTTAGAAAAAATTACATTTTTAAACAGTGTTTTGACATCATTTCAATCACACATTCTTCAATAAAATGTTGAGAATTATTGTTCAACATCAATAAATCAATGGAAGTAGAAGTTGGAATTAAATTGAAAATGGTGGCCCCGAGTGTGGCCTGTGCGCACAGGCATATAACCTTGCGGTCGCACAAGGACCTACCGAAACTTAGAAGCTCAGTTTGAGTTTAATCAAGTGACGGCATGGATTTGTACTGTGCGATCGCATGGTACAAAAAAATTCGACCGTTTGAGGTCAGTTTTTGACCGTTGTAAGTTCAATTTTGGTAACTTTTGGGTTATATTTTGGCACCATTTCGTATATGTGGCTTATGCCTATAAATAGTGGATCCATATTGAAGGCAAACACATTACAAAAATATCAATGTTCCATATTACTTCGAAAATCAAAGATCAAAAT